GCAGCATTTTCATTTTTGTGCAATTAATGTTAACGTCTGCTACGAAAATTGTCATTAAATACCATTTTAAAATCCATTCAATTTGCATATGCAAAGCCCATTTACCATCACAGAAGATACAGCCGGCACTTCATCACGTCTTTTCCCCGGAAGGGTGGCCACTCAGTTTTATAGCAATTTAAGACGCTATATTGAAAGCTGGATGCTTGTCCTTTCTGAGCCCAGCTGACTTCAGCGATGCCATGGGAAACCCCAGCCCTGGGACCAGAAGCCGTGAGTGTTCCGTGCACGTCGGTTGCAAGGAAGCAGGACACAGAGCGAGGAGCACTGGATGGGGAGTCTGACGACTGCACTCCAGACCTGGCTCAGTTAGCAACTTGCTGTGCAACCTTGGGAAGCTCTCTTCACCTCTCTGAACTTCTGTTTTCTCCTGTTTTAAATAAGGGCTTTCAACCAGATGATCACTAGCATCCTGTGTGTTCCAATTTTGCTATTTTTCTTTTTTTGAGATGAAGTCTCACTCTGTTGCCTAGGCAGCAGTGCAGTGGCGCTATCTCAGCTCACTGCAACCTCTACCTCCTGGGTTCAAGCGATTCTCGTGCCTCAGCCTCCTGCGTAACTGGGATGTTAGGTGCCTGCCACCACGCCCGACTAATTTTTGTATTTTTAGTAGAGATGAGAGGTTTCACCATATGGGCCAGGCTAGTCTCGAACTCCCAACCTCAGGTGATCCACCCGCCTCAGCCTCCCCAAGTGTTGGGATTACAGGCGCGAGCCACTGAGCCTGGCTCTGTTTTTAAATATAAACATACCAAGGGTTGAGAATCCAGGCCAAGCCCTGCCATGAAGAAGTTGTATGAACTTCAGGAGGTCAATGAACCTCTCCCCGCCTCAGTTGGAGAATAATCCTGCCCACCTTTGGCACAGAGTTTTTTGACCATGAAAAGACATCGGCATGAAAGCTTAGAGCCAAGCTGAAGAGGCAGAACACACCTGAGAATCACAGAGTCCCATGATGAGTATATGTGTTACTGGTGTAGCTCCCTAGCTACAGATGGGGAAACAAGCCCTGGGGGGAAATGTGACATGGAGACTTGGGGACAAAGCTGGAATTAGCACCCCAGGCCAACTCCCAGCCCAGGGCTCCTCTCCTGCCACCACGCTGTCTTTGAGACACTTGGTCACCAGCATGGACTGATCTAGTGACCTAGGGCACAGCACGGACGAGGAACAGGGGTCCCTCTCTGCCCCGGGGCAAGGGAGGGCACATGTGTTGCGAGCTGAGAAGAAGACCCAGGTTAGCAGCCAAAGTCACAGGAGATGCCCTGGGGGACCCACTTGGGGGATGATCTCAAAGGTGCAGGAAGGACAGTGTGTGGGAGTTCATTAATACAGCCCCAAAGTGACTTTCCAATGTGTCTCTGGTGTCACCTTCCTGGTTTCAGGGCTGGTGGATAGAAATGGATTTCTGAAGAGAGATGTGCCTGGTATTTGAGGCCACAGAGGTGGGAAACCTTACCAAAGAGGCGATGCCGAGCTGAGCTTTGAAGAATGAGTGGGTTTTCTCACCTACTCATTCCTCGGGATTCTTTCCCCGGAGTGGAACGGTGGGAAGAGCATACAAAAGCATACGTAGCACATGCTGTGGAGAGAGGTGTGGCAGGGCCCCAGAAACTCAAACACAATCACCACATGATCCTGAAATCCCGCTAGGGGTATACACCCAAAGAATTGAAAGCGGGACTGGAACAGACATTTGTACATTCATGTTCATCACAGCAGGGTTCACAAGAGCCAAAAGGTGGAAGCAACTGACATGTCCATCGGCAGATGAATGAGCAAACAGAATGCAGTCTATACACACAGGAGAATATTACGCAGCCTTGAAAAGGAATGAAATTCGGAGGCATGCTATACCATGGATGAACCGCGAGGATATTATGAAAAATGACATAAGCCAGACACAAAAAGGCAGACATTGCATGATTCCATTCATATGAGATCTCTAGAGTAATCAAAGTCATAGGAACAGAAAATAGAATGGTGGGTGCCAGGGGTTTGGGGGTTAGTGTTTAATAGGAAAAGAGGTTCAGTTTGGGATGATAAAAAAGTTCTTGAAATGGATGGTGGTGATGGTCACTCATCAATGTGAATGTAATGATTCCCACTGAATTGTATACTTAAAAATAGTTCACATGATAAATATTATGTATATTTTACCACAGTAAAAAATTATAAAAATGTAATCCCAGCACTTTGGGAGGCCAAGGCGGGCAGATCACAAGGTCAGGAGTTCAAGACCAGCCTGGCCAGCATGATAAAACCCACCTCTATTAAAAATACAAAAATAAGCCAGGGTGGTGGCACGTGCCTGTAATCCCAGCTACTCGGGAGGCTGAGGCGGGAGAATCGCTTGACTCCGGGAGGCAGAGGTTGCAGCGAGCTGAGGTCATGCCATTGTACTCCAGCCTGGGTAATACAGTGAGACTGTGTCTCAAAAAAAATGATAAAAAATAAAAAGTAAAGAAGGAAGGATAATCCAGAAATATATGTATGGTGGCATAGTCAAAGGAAGGCACCTACTTCAGGAAAGGCGAGAGGAAAATTGGAAAGGCAGGCTAGGGATGGAAAGCCGGTGGCCTTGAGTGAGGGTTAAGCAGGATGCTGCCACACAGATGGCTGAGAGGGTGGCTTTGTCAGCCACAGGTCGCTGAACGGGGCTCCAGAGGGCCAGAAGTCCACACCAGTCACTCCTGCCTGGGAGCAGCCTCTTCTATTTACTCGTTCCGTGCATTACACAAATACTGGTCATTTTTGTGATAAGGACCAGCTTGTGCAGTGATGTGGACAGGGTTGGGAAGTCCTGCTGCAGTGGACATTGCTGTTTTTGCCTGCCTGGCGTCCACCCCCCACCTGGAACAGAACCCTGGTCTGTACACCTTTTCCACAATCGGCCCGCAAAGACTGCAGGGACTGACTTGACCCCTGACTCCAGGGAAGGGCACATGTCAGCCCAGGTCAGTCAGGCTTCAGATTCCCCTGGCCTCAGCCATTGGCTCAGAGGCAGGCACATGACCCAGGCCTGGCATCTCAGCCCTGGCCACAGAGGTTGGGTAAAAGGTAGTCATGTAACCGGGAGCGATGGCTCAAGCCTGTAATCCCAGCACGTTGGAAGGCCAGGGCGGGTGGATCACCCGAGGCCAGGAGTTCGAGACCAGCCTGACCAACATGGTGAAACCCCATCTCTACTATAAATACAAAAATTAGCCGGGTGTGGTGGCGCACAGCTGTGGTCCCAGCTACTTGGGAAGCTGAGGCAGGAGAATCACTTGAACCCAGTAGGCGGAGGTGGCAGTGAGCCAAGATTGTGCCACTGCAGGCCAGCCTGGGGGACAGAGAGGGACTCTGTCTGGAAAATAAAGAAAGAAAGATAGTCATGAAACCTGATCCAAAGAGTCTTGAACTCAAGGCATCTGTATCCCCAGCACCCTTTGCACTGAAGAACAGAACTGCTGCTGGCCATCTGCAGGTGAGGAAGAAGCTTCTCAGAGAATGGAGCCCAAATCAGGAAGCACAGCCAAGACACAGAAAGACCCGACGCTGATGGTGTTGCCTGACTGCCTAGATCCTGCTATGCCTGAAGCTGTCCCTGTGCTTTCCAATCACGTGAGCCATGACTTGAGTTTCGATTAAATGCACCTATATTCTGCTTTTCTAGAATGTCATGTGTGCGAGGGCTGGGACGTGGGTCGTGTCTGGCTCATTTCATCTGTGTGTTAGCAAGATAACTCTGGAGCAATGCGGAAGGTGACTTGGGAAGGGTCAATTCTGGAAGAAGAGAGAAGTTAGCGGTTTTCTGCAGAAGGACGGTCAGAAGAAGACGGGGTGTTGACTGGATGGGGTGCATGGCCCATCTCCCTCCCTACTTCTTGGTGGCCTGTGGGCCCCCGTTAGCACTAGGGAGCTAATCTAATAAATCCCGGCTTTATTCTGTATCCTTACCTTAGCGATAGTCACCTGAGTGTTTCCATTTGTAAAACTGCATTAAGCTGAACATCTCATGATTTGTGTATTTTACTATGCATAAGTGAAGCCTCAATACAATTTTTTAAAAATTTCATAGCTCTTGGAGCTCCAACTCACACTCCACCCTACGTTAACATGAACAGTGGCTAACATTTACTGAGCTCCCGCGTGGGCCAGGCCCTGTGCTCGGGTCGCCGTGTGCTCTACGTCACTGAAGCCTTGGCACGCCGTGAAGCAGGCGGTGCTCTTATCTCCATTCCACAGATATGGAAGCTGGGGCAGGCACCCCACGGCCGGTCATGGCCAGAGTCCAGGTTTGAGCCCAGGCTCCAGAGCCTCTCTCCAGGCTTCCCTGGGGTGGTGTGTGCTTGGGTAACTTGGCAGGCTCCCCTCTCTCACCCCATGAAGACAGACACAGGTCTTTTTTTTTTTTTTTGAGTCTGTTTGCCCAAGCTGGAGTGCAGTGGCGCCATCAGGGCTCCCTGCAGCCTCGATCTCCTAGGTTCAAGCCATCCCCCCACCTCAGCCCTCAAGTAGCTGGTACTATAAGCACATGCCACAATGCCCAGCTAATTTTAAAAATTTTTTTGTAGGGGGTTTTTTGCCATGTTGCCCAGCCTGATCTCAAATTCCTGGACTCAAGTGATCCTCCCACCTGGGCCTCCCAAAGTGCTAGGATTACAGATGTGAGCCACTGGGCCTGGCCCAGAGACAGGTCTCAGTCACTGTTCGCTCATCAAGTGAAAGTGGGTGACCTGGCCACAGCCCCACAGGGTACCCTGCCACAAGGCCAGGACCCAGCGCAGCAGGATTCAGGGTGTGGCTGCAGAAGTCACACAACACAGAGTCGTTGGAGAGAGAACACTGGGGCTGGGAGGATGCTCCGCTTTCCTGTCACCCTCCGACCTTGTTCCCAATTCATTTGGTACCCCCACCCCCTCAGGGGATGAAGGCCTGGCTGCCAGCCATCTTACCGCGCCCGGATCCCAAATGTCATGTTTGGAGGGAGAGAGGGCTCCTTCTTCAGGTGCCGGTCATCCTGGTCACTGATGCGGATGTCGTTGAGCTGACGGTAGAGGAAGTTCTCCCGGGCAGTCACCAGGCCGGCCTTCACCGCCCCGCGGTTCATTGCGATGTAGTTCCGGGTCAGCTCTTGGGGGCAGGTGGGCTGCTGCTTAAACACGTTCCAGCTCCCGATGGCTGAGGGCAGGGAGAGACCCCGGGGCAGTGGTCAGCCTGGGAGGAAGCACCTCAAGGCAGCTGACCGAGAAGAAACGTGGGCACACGGGTCCTTGATCTTCCCATTTACCTGAGCCTGCTGGGTGACAGCCCTGCCTGGCCCCCCAGAAAGTATGATGGCCCGACAGGGAGGGATCAGGGCTCCCCGATGCCGGAGGGTACCCAAGCCAAGCATCTGCCCTAGAGCTGGGCTGGCCTGGCTGTTGACTTCCTCTGAGCAGGCAGAGGGTTGGTCCTGGGCTCATTCTGTGCTCATAACCCACTCCGCACAGCACCCAGTCCCTGCCTGGCCCTCCTCATCTGGGCTGCGCCCTGGGTTTGACCCCTCAGCTGCCCCAGCTGGCAGTCCCTGGGTCTTTCTCCAGCACCCAACCAGCTCCCAAGCAGCGAGCTAGGTCGGGGGTTCTGTGAAGAGGGGTCAGCCTCCCGCCCACTCCTCGGCCCTCATGCTCCAAAGCGTGCTCACTCACCTTCAGGGACCCCTCCATCAAGCCCTCGGATGTAGAGTCCGTAATTAAAATTAATGCCGGGCAGACTGCAGCTTCTTTCCCGGGGCTTGCCAAGTTCAGCCTGTCAGGGGAAGGACAGAGGGCAGAGGTGAAGAGTGGAGTCTCTCAGCAGCAGGGAGGCACCAGGTGCCTGAGTCACCCCAGGCCCTGCACATGGCCTTCAGGGCGACACAGGAGCGGGTGGCAGAGCCCTCCCTGGGAGGAGCACAGGCTGCAGCTGGCGCGGGGCCACAGAGCAGAAGCTGGTCCTCAGTCCTCGTGTCTGCGCTGAAGATGAACGAGGATGTCAGAGATGGGAGGTCCCTTGGCATCTCTGTTCTGTATTGGGGTGGGAGGCACAGTCCCCGAGCGGAGCAGCTGTGTTTGGGGAGAAGCCTTGACCTGCCTGGTTCAAGCTGGAAATGAAAGACCCAGTTCAGGAGGCCTCATCTGGAGGCCCCGGCGAGGGAGGACATCTTTCCTGCCTTCATTCCTACCTTCGTCCCTGTAGCACATGAGGAAGTTACTTCCTCGAATCCTCAGCTTCTGGGGAAGACACAGTGACAAGGCTGCTGCCACCCTCCGCACCTGGGCAGCTGTTCTTATTCGCTGGGACTCTAGGGAACTCCTTGGCCTCTCAGAGGGGATTTGTACAAGTGCAATTGCCCTGTCATCAACCACATTAGCCCCCTTATTTATATCTGTGGAAACTGAGGCCTACAGAGGCAGGGTCCATATCCATGGCCCCCAAGTGCTGGGCAGGGCATCGCACGGAAACACGCCTGTCCTCTGGGCTGATGCTCCTGATCATTCTGCCACCATCTCCCTTTAGCTCAGTGGCTCCCCACGGTCAGAGGCCCTGTCCTGCACGGTGGGTGCTTCAAACCCCATCCGCGTCTGCTCCATCGATGGGCACCTGCTGGGTTCCGGCTGCATCCAGGCACGTCTGGGGCTCCTTGGCCTTCCCTCGTGTCGTCTGCACAGCCGCCCGGGAAGGCAGTGTTTCTCAGGGGGAAGCTGAGGCACAGAGAGATCTGACAGGTGACCTTGGATCAAGCAGTAGGAAGTGGCAGAGCTGGGACCAGAACCCAGGCTGGCTGCCCCCACCCACACTCAGATCCACAAGTCAAAGAAATGCCCACAGCCCCAGCTTTTTGTGGTGCCAGTAGGTCCCGGGGCCATTGCTGAGAAGGGTGGGCGCCGCTGATCCTCCCGCTGCCCACAGGCCACAGGCTGAGGACTCAAAGTCACAGGGTGTTATTACAGCTCCCGGGAGCTCTCTGCTCTGGCCGCACCCAAGACTCCCCAAAGGGTCTAGTGGGCTCTGGTCTCACTGTCCCCTGCCATCTCATCTATACCCCCATCTCTCCAGCTCCCACAGGTTGGGTGCTGAGAGGTAGACAGAAAAGGACGGCCCATCGTGGCTCAGCACTGCCGCTGGAATAAACGCTCCCTCAGCTGGTGATCCAGGTCCCACAGCCTCCTACCCACCCAGCCCTGCAGCTTGGCCTCACAGGCTCTCCCACAGCCCCCGTTGAGACAGACAAGCCCACCCCCCTGCTCTGAAGGACCGCAGGCATCCCAGCTGCCTCTGCTGCTCTTTGCTCAAGACCCACCCTTACTGGTCCTTATTCTTCAAGCCCCGTCTCTGCCAGAAGCTCTCGGGACCCCTGGGTTCACCACGGCTCGCCCTCGTCTGAACACCAGTGACTCTTACTATCTGTTCTATTCATTTGGGGCTTAGAACTCGCCACCTTCTCGATTTCCAGGAATGCACATGCAGCCCACCCTGCCTGGATTACACACTGCCACCCAGAGAGAGCCATGACTCCTATGACCTTCTTCTTTCTGTTGGCATACAGCAGGTACAAAATAAATGCCCGATATTTAAAACCACTTCCTCTGGGAAATCTTCCCAGATTGGCATCAGTCCTAGACAAGCCTCCTTATTATATGGTGGCTCTACAGCAGCCTCAGCCTACCTTCACGGCACTTACAAAATGACAGGGTAGCACCTATCCAAGGACGGAAAGTAGCTTCGTGGTTGCCAGGGCTGGGGACAGGTAGGGGAAGAGATGGAGCGACGGACAGCTGCGATGGCTAAGGGGCGATCTTTGGGGAGTGATGAAAATGTTCTAAAATTGATTGTGGCGTGATGGTTGCACAACTCTGTGAATATATTAAAAGCCACTGAATTCTACATTGTAAATGGGTGAATTGTAGGTGAATTACATCTCAAATAAAATCACAAAGTCATGTAATTAAGTCATTCATCGCATAAGGATCAGTTTGATATCGGTCTTCCCTTACGAGCCTGTGTGCCCCACAAGGAAAGGGATCCAATCTTTATTTTTTAAGGTTATGTTTTAAAAAATCGACTTTATATTTTACAGCAGTTTTAGGTTCACCACAAAAGTGAGCGGAAGGTATGGAGATGTTTTGTATACCCTGTCTTTATTTCTCATTCTTCTTTTCTCAGTGTAGAACAGCTGGTAATGAATAGGGGTTGAATAAATGAGTGGGTAAAATACTCATGTCTTTGTCAGCTTAGGCTGCCATAGCAAATTATTACTGACGGGGTGGCTTCAACAATGGGCATTTATTTCTCAAAGCTCTGGAGGCTGGGAAGTCCAAGATCTAGGCACCAACAGACCCGGTGTCTGGTGAGGGCTCTCTCCTTGGTTTGCAGATGGCCGCCTTCTTATTGTATCTTCACGTGGCAGAGAACAGAGAGAGTTAGCTTTCTTCCTCTTCATTTAAGGGCACAAATTCCATCATGAGGGCTCTGCTTTTATGACCTACTCATCTCCTAAAAGACCCACAGCTAATGCCATCCCATCCGAAGTTAGGTTGTTCAGGTTGGGGGTACGCAGACATGCTGTTCACAGCCTACTTTGAGACCATTGGCTCTTTTCTACACAATGCTTGTTTCCCTCCCTCTTCTTTTCCATCTCAAATCCCAGCCCCCAATGTCCCTCAAGAGTGACAGAGCTCTGAGTTTCAGGCGGGTGCATGGGGACTCCGCAGGGTGGCTTATTTTGAATTCCTTCCATACTACGCTCTTTGAGCTACAGACAAAGCTCTGGCCTCTCATTTGTTTATGAAAATGATCCGGCCTCTCCAGTGACTGCCGGGGAAGTTAATTAAAATGTGATTTCTCCGGGAGAGGCCCTGCCTCCCTCAGGGCAAGTGCAGGTGGGCAGAGTTCCAGCTGGCAGGGGGATGACAGACAGGCTCAGGAGCTGGCTGCCACCCTCAGGCGGGGGCAAGGGAGCAGGCGGGTGCCTCAATCTCTGCTCTTTCGTGTGGTTGCCTGGGAATCAATAACTGTTGAAACATGTGGAAGCCTTAGACTGCAAAGAAAAATCATCCCAATGGGAGGTTTGCTCATACTTTCACTCCTACAAATATTTATTTTGTACCCACTCAGCACTAAGCCCTCCGTGCTTGGAGTTCTAGGGTGAACAGATCAGACACACAGCCCTGCTCTTATGAAATTCACTGTCTTGCAAAAAGGACAGCTAAGCAATGGCAATCATGTGCACCAGGGTATCTGATGTGGAAAGCACAAACTGCCCCTGGTTCTAAAAGTCTATGAGTTTAAAGAGTGAGAGAAGATATCTACTATATATATATATATATATATATATATATATATATATATATCTAACAAAGGAGTCTTATCCATCATATATAAAGAGTTACTACAAATCAATAAGAAAGAGGCAGATAATCTTATAGAAAAAAAATGAGCAGATTACTTGAATAGGAACTTCTTTAAGAGGATGTCCCAGTGGCCAAGATCCATATGTCAAGGGGTCAACCTCTGGGAAATGCAAAGAAAAAATTCAGTGTTATTGGTAAGGACCTGGGGCAACTGGAATTCTCTTCCACTTGGTGAAAATGTAAACTGCTACAACCACTGTGGAAAACTGTTTGACAGTATCTCTGCCGTAAAGCTATACATAGGCCTGCTCAATAACCCAACAATTCCAACCTGGACATCCAGCAGAAATGAATGTGTACATCCACCCAAGAATGCAATAGCAGCCCAGTTCATGATAGCCAACTGCCAGAAACAACCCAAGTGGCCATCACTGGCAGATAAAAAATCTGTGACATATCATAGCAGGGAATACCCTGCAGTCATGGTCCTAGGGTGAGAATGTGCCCTAGAGGACATCTGGCCATGACTGGACACATTTTTGGTCATCACAGCTTGGGAGGGGGCGCTGTCCTCCATCTAGTTGGTAAAGGCCAGGAATGCTGCCAGACATCCTACAATGCACCAATCCCACTACTTCAAGGAGCTATTCGTCCCTTGATGCCAACAGTGCCCACAAAGATTAAGAAACTCAGAATGAGCCAGATGCAGTGGCTCACGCCTGTAATCCCAGCCCTTTGGGAGGCCGAGAGAGGCAGATAGTTTGAGCCCAGGAGTTTGAGACCAACCAGGGCAACATGGCAAAACCCCATCTCTACAAAAATTATAAAAATAGCCAACTGTGGTGGCATGTGCCTGTGGCTCCAGCTACTCAGGAGGCTGAGGTGGGAGGACTGGTCAAATTTGGGAGGTCGAGGCTGCAGTGAGCTGTGATTGAACCACTGTACTCCAGCCTGGGTGACAGAGAGAGACCCTGTGAAAAGAAAAGGAAAGAAAAGAAAAAAGAAAAGAAGGAAAGAAGGAGGGAAGGAAGGAAGGAGGAAGGGAGGGAGGGAGGGAAGGCAGGAGAAACTCTGAGCATGAAAGAACATCGCTGTGGGTAACCACACACATGGTCCTCACATAAAGTGTGGAGTGAAAGAAGAGATACACCCAGGGGACACCCTGCTCCATGGGGATGCAGCCAGACACCAGCAGAACTCATCTCTGGGTTTCCAAGTCAGACATGCAGGCCCCCTGGGTGGGGGCGGTGACTGAAGGTAGCACCAGGGGCTTCAGGGGTCATGATGTTCTTGACCCGATGTGTGCCTTTTGCACTGTACCCCCGGCTGCTGACCTCCCTCAGGAGCCATTCATCCGTGACTGTGGCTGCCAACCCTTTCCCTCAGCTCCCTGCTGACGGAGCAATGTGCTCTCTG